ACCTAATTATCTATTTCAGTTAATGTTGCAGATTGCGTTGTTCCTTAATCTTTGAATTGTATCCGGCTTATTATTTTTTGCAGACTGTTAGAGCAATTTTATAAAAGTAAGCTTGAACTTTCGATTATGTCAAATAGAATTTCCGATGCTGGAGCTGCCCAAGGATCTGCAAAGCGAAAGCATGTTTCAATGTCCATTAAACAAAAAGTGGAACTGCTGCAAAAAATGATAAAGACATGAAGAAAGTGACAGAGAGGTAATTTGTTTCTCTAACCGTTCCGAAATCTGTTTATCAATTTCACGCTGCTCTGCGGAAGGGGGGGGGAGAAACGTCGTGATGCGCAATGAACTGGAAGTTAATCTGTCAGCATTATCCTCATCTTCAGGGCAGATGTTTTTATTTTATTCGGCTTATAATTCCTCACTAAATGTAGTGTTTCATCTCTATGTACTCCAATATAATTTAAATCAATTTCCTCATCATTATAAATGTCACGAATACACATAAAATAGTTTTCTGGTTGCAATTTTCCAATTTTCGACTATGTGTAATGTATGCTTTACGCATGCGCGTGTTGAAAGAAATGTTTAATAAACAAATAAATATTAAGCTTTTTTTTGTAAATTTTGATACCCTTTAGATCATAATTACTTTTTATTTCATAAATTACGGTTTCATATTTTTAATTTTATAATTTCTGCAAGCCATTTTACCAGATTTAAATTGATGATCTATAATCCGGAATCGCCGAAGTTCTGACGAGTCCGGATTAAAGACTTTTGACTGTAATATATATTTGGATCGCTTCTTCAGCTCCCCATCACTTGTGGAATATTTGCTTTCCGTAAAAACGAATGTTTGTGGAACGGTATTAAAAACCCCAAAAAGAATGCTCAAAGACTTTCCAGGAAAAAACTAAAAAAAGGGTGAATTGGAAGTAATGCAGCAAAATAATGTGACCATCATTGCCTCCAAAGAAAGAAAAAAAAGAAAAAGGGGGACTTTTTTATACCAACCAGCATACATAGAAATGGCTAAATCTGGCATAAAAGTTAGAATTTCTGGAGAAGACATTTTAAAACCTAAATTTTTTATAGATTATGACAAAAACATGGGTGGTAAATGGACATAGGACTTGCAGTTATGACACACTATTCGTGTTTTCGAAAATCGGTTAAATGGTACAAGAAAATGTTTTTTTGGGCTGATGGATATAACAATATTGAACTCCAACATTCTTTTTAACAAAAAACATGGTATTAAAACGCCGTTTATCCTACTCAAAATGAAACTGATTGAACAAATGTTCAAGAACTATGGAAATTATCGAGAAGAAAAGCAGTTTGCTGCTAGGATCTGTACCAGCATCGATCGAATTATCTGGTAGGCATTTTTCTATACTTTGTATGAACGAAAAGGTAAAAAATGGTGAAACACTCTGAAGTCAAAACTCTGCAGTCAAGGGCTATGGCGAATAATCCCATTCTGTATTATGATCGTAAAGAAATCTAAAAGTTGATTTTATAGTTATGATGATGGTGTGACCATCATCATAACTATAAATGGTGATAGTTGTTGGTGATGGTCTACGTATTGTATACAGGGTGGTTCAAAACCATATGTCAAAAATGTAAAGGCAAGTAGAGGGGACCCTAAATAAGCAGATTTCGTATAGGAATGTGTGTGCGGTAATGCAGTGTTCAGCCGGTAGCGAGCACTGATGAGTACGGCATGTAAAAGTGCTGTGCTAGCTGGATTCTTCATTTTTCACATGGATCTTGACAGCATATATCGTTACACCAATGTAGAGCTTGTCGATGTGCATTTCATGTATAGAGATGCACAAGGAAATGAATTAACTTCTCAAAGAATGTACAGTGAGGTCTTACCTGAATTTTTGGTCATCATTACACCAGTGTAGAGCTTGTCGACGTGCATTTGATGTATAGAGTTGCACAAGGAAATGAATTAATTTCTTAAAGAATGTACAGTGAGGTCTTACTTGAATTTTTGGTCGATGTTCCTCCAGCTGTTCGCAACAGCACAATTTCATTCCAGCACAATGGAGCCCCTGCTCACTGCAGCTGGAACGTCAGGAATTACTTGGACGCTGTATGCGGCCAGCATCGGATAGGACGGGGAGTGCCAGTTCCCTGGCCACCGTGTTCTCCTGATTTCACCTACTCGGATTTTTTTTGGGGTCATATAAAAGGCCTCGTGTATGTAAGTCCCATCACATTATGCAGAAGATCTTGTCTGCTTGTCTGCTGCTGGACATGTGCTCGACTTGCCTGATGACTTTTCTAATGTACGCCAATCTACGCGCTGCTGCTGTGAATTTTGTATCGCTGTTGGTGGCTGCTCTTTTGAGCACCTATTGTGAACTGTTAATAATTCTTCTTTTGTCTTCTTTTTTCAGTTTCCTGTGATTCATATTGCTTTACATGCTATCACTTTAATACGGCACTACAATACACATATTCCTATACGAAATATGCTTATTCGGGTCCCCTCTACATTTTTGACATATAATTTTGAACCACCCTGTATAATGTAAGTAGAAAACTAAGGCCATGATCATATATATGTATATAAAGTGATAAATTTTTTGCAGTTATTTATTTATTATTCTATTTGTTTTATGTTATTTTCTAAGTAATGCATTGATTTTCCTTAGTAGTAAGTACAGCTTAGGTCCAGAGATGGTACTGCTCGGGATGTGCAGTCCTTGGGAAGGGGGCAGTGTTATGAATTTTGTACACAGGTAGATGATTGTAGTAATTATATGTATGTGAAATTATTGTATTTTTTCATATAATGTAACATGAAAATATATAGGGGCGAAGCTTGCCGAGGCATTGAGTAGTTTCGAGAAGCAAAAAGTACCAGAAATATCTCGGTGGCTGTGTGAAAACTATATAAAAGAGGAGAGAGAGTGTCTGCTTTCAGGTGTTGTTAGTTCTGTGTGAGTTCAGAGTACTGAGGTATGTCTGGGTTAGCTTTGCTCTTTAGATGTGCTTTGCATAAATTTTATGAACCAATCATGAGACCTGTGTGTATTTGATCTTTTACAAACCTACACGCATATAGATAGGTAGAGATAGATATGATAACTGTATAATTATACCTACATTATGCAGGTATTACAAGTCTATATGTGTGTAAGGATTTCGTATTTCATCGGTTCTAAAATTCCTTTTTCTGCATGCTAACATCTCTGTGTAAATCGTGTTTCTCAAAACTGTTGGAAAATTATCCCCTGTGCATATGGAAATGCAAGGAGATTTGTTGCATTTATCTGTTTTGCTACAACTTCTTTCTTATAAGAAATTGCTCCTGTATCAAAAACAGTCAGGTTATGTCTTAGGCCAACTGAATGTCACCTGTTAGTAGATCAGCAGGGGCATAGCTAGAGTTCCTAGCGCCCGGGGACAACTGAAGAATTTGCGCCCCTTTCTATGTGCCAAGAATGGAAAACATTTCATTAAAAAATTTCGTAGCATCAGTTTGGCGCCCCTTGGATGCTGCGCCCGGGGACAGATGCCCCCTCTTGCCCCACCCTAGCTACGCCACTGATCAGTAGTGTCGAAATACATAGTTTTCCCAGTTCTGCATAAAACATGAATAACTGCATAAAACTTCTGCTTTTTGCTCCATGTGCAACAAACTTGGTCCAATTCTGCCTGGATAGGCCTTAATGATGTTATTTTGTATATGTTGTATAATTTTTATTGTATTATGTTATTTTGTATAATTTTTATTGTAGTTTTTTTATTGAATTTTGTTTACTGCATATGCTTGATGGTGTACATTTGACACGGGGAGAAATACTGGTGACTAAGCAACCCTACACTAGCTTATTCGTTATATCAGTTGCTGTAGAGTCTGGTCGAGTGATGTTTACAATTACAATATTATGGAACTTTGTTTACCCGTTATTTTAACATCCATACTGATTGCATTTGCTTATTTTTCTAATGTATGTTTCGTTTTAATTTGCGTTAATTTCACATTGCTGTCTGAAATGTGAAAAAAAAAAAGGTGCAAAATACAATGCAAAACAATGAAAATATAATCAGTAAAATGTGTTTTTAAACTTAAGGATAATATTGAGCACACAATTTGAAGGGGGAGAGGAAGCTTTAACCGAAAAAATGCAAGAAGGAGCAATGAACAGTGATAAAATTTGGATGATAACTTAAAGTACAATAAGAGAAAAATGAATAAAATTTCTTTTCTAAAACTAAATGAGAATACAATGAAACCTTGAGCTGTGAACACATCTATATATAAATGAGAAATTTGAGATACGAGGAAAGTATTAACAAAATATGTGTCTCAAAATACAAGCATTGACTCGAGTAACGAGCAATGAGCCAGGCTGGTATAGTATGTGTGGCGCCATTTCCCGATCCGGCTCGGGGAATCTTGTCTTCAGATCGCTCACTTTTCTTTGATCTACCTGTTTGTATGCTATTTATCATGAAAATTATTTCACGATACCTCTCAAGAATATTGTTGCGTCAGAAAGAAAAGAAAAAGAAAGAAGGCATAGCCATTGGAATTAAGTACGAAATCTTAGATAAATATAAGCATGGTGTAAGAATGACAGAATTGGCAAAGACTTACAAATTATGTCCTTAATTTAATGTTATCTACTTCATAACTTGTAGGGAGTTAGTTTAATTTTCAAAATTGTTTTATGGTAAGTATTAAATTGAATTTAATAATAGTGCATAATACACACTTCTGTTAGTTTCTTAAAGTGAAATTACAAGCATGAAGTCGGTTGTATGGATAATTGCTTTATACTATTCATTTTTTTGTTTGCTGATAGGTCCTTAGTTTTTTCTTTGATGGTCCTTAAAAGTCCAGTCCTGATGGTCCTTAAAAGTCCAGTCCTTAAAAGTCCTTAATTTTCATGTAAGGAAATGTGTACAAGCCCTGAAAATACGATGTTAATATTGCTAATATTTTGTTTGATATCTTCTCTTTATAGGGAATTGCTGACTTGGTTTCAGATGATGATGCACATTATAAAAATGAGTCAGTAGGAAAACGAGGTGATTTTTATTATTATTTATTATTCTAATATAAATGTTTAGCAATCGGTTTAAAAAATTTATTAAGCTAAAATGTAAGGATTTATGAATGCTGGTTTCTTAAAAACCAACTTAAAAATTTAACAATTTAAGAAAATGTTGAGTATTTTTCGCATTTATTTATTTATTTATTTTTGCTGTTACAACTTCTAAAAAGCTGTTATGTGAAAGTGTAAGAAATTCCTGTTCAAGTGAAATAAATGTAATGTCCTTGATGTTAAAATCATCGTAATTTCCCCAAGTTTTGTTCGACTTACTGCGTTTTATTATGTTATATACATTAGTACATTGTTGCTAAAAAAATAAATGCATTTAACTTCCTCATTGCTGAAGTAAATGTTAGTTTTGATCTTTCAAACCTTAAGCCTTTCTTCTCATGTTGCTTTGTGAATGCTTGCTAAACTTCATCTCCTTTAAAGAAGATCCAGTGTTAAATTCCTGTACCAAAGATGAAAGTTCACATCTGCAATGTGTGTGTTTTGATACCTCGGGAATCACAGAATTCCGGTTACGCAAAAATATCGGATAATAAAGCATATAAAAAAGACAGTTCAGGGTAGAAAGGCCAATGAACGGAAGAAAAAATTCTGCTTAAAATTATAAAAAGAGTCATTTCATTTGTTAATAATTTGAATATCAAACACCTACATTTAAATTTATGAAATTTCAAAAAAAGCACGGGCATTCGATTAACAAACTCCATCAACCATGAATGTGGTGGGATTCTCGGTGCATTATCTCGCCAAGCTTGCACCAGTCATTGCGGCAGAACTTTTAGGGGACAGGTAGTTTTTTGTTTAACTGATAATCCACATACATTAGTAATGGACATAACATACTATGATATAGTGGGCATTCTCCTTTCTGTGAACTAAGCACACTAAGGATCCTCACTCCCCGCCAAACTAGGCCCAGGGGTTCAACCCCTGTCCTAGAACCTTGGAAGGATTGGTGCCAATGCACCTGGAGTGACACAGACCTCATGGCATCACTGGCCATCAATTTGCTACTTACCAGCTGCTTGGGTTGTATGTCGCAGAGGAGTATACCCAACAAACCCGGGATGCGAGCCTCAGGCTAATAGACCTGTTTGCTCAAGAACATGCCAGACCCACGGGCTGGCCAATAAGTTAACTTTCCGGGTTGTGTAATGGCAGACCATATATTGAGTTGATCCGTGTTAAGTGAATTTTGTTTGCTGCACATGCTTGATGGTGTACATTTAGTGCTGGGAGAAATATTTGTGACTAAGCAACCCTATACTAGCTTATTCGTAATATCAGTTGCTCTAGAGTCTGGTCGAGTGATGTTTACAATTACAATATTATGGAACTTTGTTTACTCGTTATTTTAACAACCAAACCGATTGCATTTGCTTATTTTTCTAATGTATGTTTCATTTTAATTTTGGTTAATTTGTTGATAACATTGTATTTAATATTAACATATGTTGTGTGTAATAATTTATTAAATAAACTCAATTTTCTCACTTAGTTTTTTAATGTATGTTGATGCTTTTATTTTCTTATTTAAAGGAATTAAATAAACAGCATTAAGGAATCGTAAAATTCTTCAGTGTTATTTACAGACACTGTTTCTTTATGTATGTACAAATGGAACATATGTTATTCCTTAAAAGTATAATCAATAAATTTTCAACTAATATATACTGTAGTGTCTCCTAAATTTTAGTCTTTTTCTGAACCAAAAATTGTAGAGTTCTAAAGGAATGTGCAGAATTTCACTAAGTATTACATCTTATATTTTGAATGGAAACACTGCTTCACATTATTTCATAATAATTAAATAATTATTTCCTCCCTCTATGCCTGTATTAATATTTTTCATCGGATTATTTATCAATAGTTTCTGGTGTAATTGGAAGTATAAATATGTATATATATTATGTTTTAGAAAAGGTTTTTTGTACATTATCTCTAAGAAACAAAAATTTAAAAGTGATGAATTATTGGAATGAATTTTAAGCAGTATTTTAGTCAGTACTTGAAGTTATTTAGAATTCTACTGTAGTAAAAATAGGTTATTATTTAGATTTCGGTTGTAGAAAAATTATTTAAAAGCTGCGTAGAAATATTATTTTGAACTGAAACCTAAAGTATTTAAAAGGTAGCTACTGTCATTGATCATAGATTAATTGACTTGTCAAGGGGAACAAACTAATCCAATATATATGCTGAAGAGCCATTACATTATAACCACCCTGTTAAAACATGTAGGACCACCTTTAGCCCTCAAAACTGCCAGCACCTGGCATGGCATTGACTCCACAAGGTGCTGATAGGTAGTCTGAAGTATCTGGTACTAAGCACTCACCAACTGGTCCTGAAATTCCTGCACATTACGAGAGGGTAGCATGGCAGCAGGAATTTTGTTTTTCGTGTGAGACCCTCAATTGGATTAATGTCAGGTGAATTTGGAGGCTAAGGACATGATGACTTGAAAGTCACTGGAATGTTCCTTGAACCACACTCTGTTGATTCAACCCTTATGACATGGTGAATTATCCTGTTGGTAAATACCATCCCTCACCAGAAATATTGTTGTCATGAATGGGTGAACCTTGTCTGCAATGATGTTCACAAAGCACACAGATGTCAGGGATTGTTCTGTGGGGATTAGGGAATCTAATTTACTGCATGAGAACATTGCCGACACCATAATAACCCTGGCATCTGCTTGTGTCCGTCCAACTGTGCATCTGGGAGCCAGGGTTTCGTTTGGAAATAGGCATGTAGCACACGCCCATGCATGTGATGGACCAGAAAACGTGATTCGTCGGACCATGCGAACTTTCTTCTATTCTCTTATTCCAATGTATCTTGGCCCTTTGCAGACGCAGCTGGTTTTGATGTGCCATCAGTGCAGGGACATGCTTCGGCCTCCGGCTACGTAGGCCCATACACAGCAATTTATGCTGCACAGTGTGTTGAGAAACACTTTCTAGGTTGCACTGTTGTAGCTCTTTGGTCACAGTGTTGTAGCGATCTCTGCTCTCCTCTGAAATCAGTATGCCGTCGATGACACACTGCTGACGGCGACTTTTCGTTTCACTATCCATACACCACTTTCGATGCCGAAAATTTGGCATTCGAGTGTTAATTCGAGGTCAGACTTTAATTGCAAACATGACTTTGATGTTTTAATGTTTCAGAATTATTAACAGAAGATTTTATATTAATGATACATTTATAATTCCCCAAAAAATTCTTTAGGACTGTCAAAAATTTTAGTTATACCTAAATTTGGTTTCAAGTAATGACTTTATTGCCAAAATTTGGTCTTTATGCATATATATTATGCATACAAATTGCATGCAAAGTTACGATGGTTGTTAATTTTCATTATTGACCAAACATAAAGAATACTGTTTCTTTTTCAAGATAGGTAGTTTCAGTTGTTTTCATAATAATGTCTGTATTTATTTAGAAAAAATTCTCCTGATAAAATACTAGACACAGAAATGTTTCCAAAACAGTGTGTAAGAATGCTGTTGGTTTTTCAGAGACAAAGTCACAATATAACTAACCTTAACAGAACTTAAGATATCAAACAGGAAAAGGAATGCAAATGATAAAAATGCTCAAATGCCAAATTAAATTGTTTGATCGTACAACAAATGTAATTATAGTTAACTGATTTTTTATCTTGAAGACTGATTATCAAACATAGTTAATGTTTAATAAAAGAATTTTATGAAAATAACCTAAATTTGAAGTATAATGAAAATAAAGATTTTATTTTACCAAAATAGCTTAGTACAGTGATTTTGTAGATGTATTTATGTTTATTTATGGGAAAATAACAGAAAACATACAAAAGTTTGAATATTTGGTGTAAAATTCGGTTTTGAATATTTGGTGTAAAATTCGAATTTTCATTATTAAAATTTTAAAAGCACTTTCCACCAATTACTTTTTTGATTTAATGAGTCTCCTTTTTGTCTTTCTTGTATCTTATAGAGTTTCACTCACTCTCTTTGGTAATACATGCCCCGGCCAATGAATTAGAAACCTTTTAGATTTTCATTTGAATGCATGCTAGGGCTGAAATATGCAATTTTTTTTTATGACGTGATTAACATGTGGTTAGAATGCTAGTGTAAGTAAGTGTAAGAGTGCTTTTATGAAGAATGAAGTAAAATGGGAAAAATGACAGGAACCATTTGAAAAGGAGCTTATTGTTGGTGCCTGTTTAACAGGGGCCTCGATTTTGAAGACAGGAAATCTCACTTGAGTTCTTAAAAAGCAGCCATATCAAAAGTTTTCAAAAGTTGGAATCAGAATCCACAGTCCTACTGTAGAAGACATATAACTGCAGTTTGAGTTTTTTTCAAGAGTTTTTCAAGAACAACAGTTTTTTCAAGTTCAAGTTCAACAGTTTTTTTCAAGAGAGTGATCGGCGTCGTGTTCAACGAATTGTACAGCAGAACAGGGACTCTACTGTCACTATAGTTGAGTGCCTGTGAGAAAAACCACTCATTTTTGCCCAATATGCAAGAATTTCTTTGCAGTGGTGTCAGGAATGAAGACACTGGACATGTGAGGATTGAAAAATGGTAATATGGTTGGATGAATCATTCTACACCTTATTTTGCACTGATGGAAGACGTCGAATTTGGCGAGAACCCCATGAATCCATCTTGCCTTACTCACATTGTGTCAAGGGTTTGGTGGGGATATGGGGCATGTTCTGCTAGCCCCATTATGTTCTGGCTAGATATACTGGGAGATCAAGTGCATCCTCCAGTGTTGCATTTTTATCCTAATGGCGACATATACTTTGTGGACGATAATGCAACTGTACATCGTGCCAGAAGTTTTCAAAATTGGTTCGCTGAACATCAGTCTGACTTCCAACACCTTCCCTAGCCACCGCATAGCCTTGAACCCTATAGAAAATTGTGGGATATAGTGGAGACACGCATCCAATAAAACTCTGCTGTTCCATCTAATTTGCAAGGTCTAAAAAGCTGCAAAGCCAATGTATGGTTATTCTCTGGATGTAAATACACTCCAGAAGCATGTAGACTCAGTGCCCAAACGAATCAGAACACTTATCTGTGCAAAAGGTGGCTCAATAAAATATTGATCTTAGGTTTCTAATTAATTGGCCAGTGTGCGTGTGTATATATACTGTGTGAGAACTCAGGAAAACTTAAGCGACTTCTCGCTATGTCTTGGAAATTACAACAGAAGATTGGAATAAGTGTAAAAAAAACCCTTTTATTAACTCAAATTAACAGAAGGTACAGCTTATGCCTACAAAACCAAAAGTACATTGTTGAAACATTAACAAATTAAGGAGGTGAAGCTGAGATTAAGAGGGTACATTGATTTGTTTAATCATAAGTCTTATCACAGTCAAGTACCACAGTCTTAATTATTTTTGGAGGCGAGACCAAAAATAAATACGGCTGTGATATTTGTTTCGCAGTTGAAGCAAACTCCATTGATGGAACACAGCAATAATTTTATTTAACACTCAAAATGGCGACATGCAAGCAAGAACAGAAAACATTCTAACTTTTTAAACATGAATTAATTACATTCTTCACGCGAAAACCACATGCAGATCTCAAGCCTGCTTTTCAGACATTGCTAGTAACATATACATTATTCTTAATCTATTTAAATTGTACAAGAGTTTAACAACAATATTTAAAGATGTTACACTGCGTACATATTTATTCTTGCAAATAACAAAAGTGAAGTTACAAAGACGGTATTACAAATTTGAAGTTTCCTGTGTAGATAATTGTTTTAGTTTGTTTAGTTGCTGTTTGTTTGATAGGTCCTTAATTTTTTTCATTAGTGTTCATTAAAAGTACTTAATTTCCACATGCAAAAGTATGTACGAACCTTTTATATATAAGGGCGAGTCAAATGAAAGTGAGCCAACCCCTCCTCAGCAAGAATGGTTCGGTCCATCATCTGCGGCGCATGCGCGTAGCACAGAGACAGCCTTCATTTACAAAAGTGGCACGAAAGTGTGAGGTTAAAGTTCTTTAAGGCGCTCTTACACTGGGTTGAAGACGGTAGCGTGACATAATGGACTCTCCAAAAGAGGAACAGCGTGGTGTGGTCAGGTTTTTGACAGCTGAAGGTGTTTCCCAACATGAAATTAGTCGCCGTATGACTACTGTGTACGGTGAACATTGCATCGCATTGGCCACTGTGAAGCGTTGGAGCAAACGGTTCAGAGAAAGACGTGAAAGTTGCAAAGACGATCCAAGACCGGGCCAAAGCCACCTTGCAATCACCCCCGACACAATTGCACAGGTTGATGAGCTGATTAGACAAGAACGGAGGATAAGCATCGATGAACTGGCAGAGCGTGTGAACATCAATCACGGTTCTGTTCACACCATAATTCATGATCATCTCGGTTATCGGCTTTTGTGTGCTCAATGGATGCCCAAGATTTTGAACGAACGCCAGAAGACGGAGAGGTTTGGCGCTGCTTTGACTCATCTCATCCGGTATCACAATGAGGGTGACGACTTCTTGTCTGCAATTATGACTGGAGACGAATCATGGTGCCACCACTACGAACCTGAAACACGCCGGCAAAGCTTACAGTGGAAACATTTGAATTCACCACCCCCGAAGAAAGCAAAGGCTGTCATTTCCTCGGGAAAGGTGCTATTGACTTTTTTTTTTTTTGATCGTCTGGCGCGATTTTTTTCGATAGTTCGCGATATTGTGCAAAGCTGGATCAGCTGCGTGTCGCAATCAAGAACAAACGACCTGGAAGATTGACGAATGGTGTGATCTTGCTACACGACAATGCTCGTCCCCACGTCGCTGATGTGGTTAAGGCACAACTGGCAAAGTTCAAGTGGGACACGCTGCAACATCCTCCATACAGCCCAGATTTGTCGTCATGCGACTTTCACATTTTCGGGAAACTGAAAAAACATCTCAAGGGTACCAGATTCGTGTCGGACGACGCCGTGAAGGAGTCGGTTACAGACTTTTTGAATCGACAGCCCAAGGAGTTTTATGAGACGGGGATCACGCGGCTCATTTGTCAATGGGATAAATGTCTCAAGGTTCATGGAGACTACCTTTCAATAAAGTACTCTGTTTGTCATATATTCACATTGGCTCACTTTCATTTGACTCGCCCTTGTATAATCAAATTAAGAAATAAAAATACTTATCAATAGTGCAGATTTAGCCAAAAATTAGGAATTTCATTTTGAAGTCAACATTTACTCCAGTAAACTATGCAACTTAAGTACCAATTCCAAAGAGTTCAAAAATAGAATAAAAAAGTGTTTTTAAAGACAGAATAATTAAAAAAAAAAAAAAAAAGTAAAATGAATATAAAGAAATTAAGGAAAATTGTTAGTCAAGCAGTAGCTGGTAGTAGTGGTAAAGCAAATATAATTTAAATGCAGATTTAGAAAACTGAACAATTGAAAAGTCATTCAGACAATGCCGACTCATCAGGGGGAATTAGCTTATCTCACTTTCTCCCCAATAGCTCAGGTATAGTGTATCGTTTATGCCATGCATAAGCCACCCCCCCAAAAAAATTAAACATCTTTATATAACAGTTTACAAAAATAAGCCAACCCATGTGCATGTCTATAATGGGTTTTATTATTTTGCTATATTGCTATAGAAATATTTTTTTTAAGATAATGTATGCATAGCACAGACAATACACGATGTCTGAGTGATTAGGGAGAGAGTGAGATAAGTTAATTCTCCTGATGAGTGGCCATTGTCTCACTGACTTTACAATTGTTCATTTTTCAGATTTCGGCATTTAAATTGTGTTTACTACTACTACTACTACTAACTATTGCGTGACAGACAATTTTCCTTTACCTATTTACTTCTATTCTTCACTTCTTCATGCTCTTTTCATTAATTTTTCTGGGGGGGGGACTTTTTGTAATTGGTACTTTGCATAGTTTATTGGAGTAAATGTTGACTTCACAATGAAATTCCTAACTTTGGCTAAATTTTCACTGTTAATAGGAGTTATTTTCATTTCTTACATTGATTATTGTTATTTTCATTTCTTACATTGATTATTGTTATTTTCATTTCTTTCATTGATTATTATTTAATTCTTTGTGACCAAGGTGCAGGATTCTAAAAATGCCCTGTATATATACACACACACAAAAGGTTTTTTATATTAGATAATTTTTAATCATGACAAACTCATTAAAATATTTTAAATATTTTTTTTCTTAGTGAATTTAATGCAGTTATTGTTTTGATGCTAATTTTTTTCCCATCTGAAATTTTGAAAAATCTTTCTTTTGCAGCTGAATTTACATGGAACGAAAACCTTGCAAATGAATTGTGGATGAATGAAAGTGCTTCAGATTATACCAGAGTTGGAAATACAGTGGAAATCCCATGGGAAGAAAATACTTCTCCAAAATTACCAATAAAGCATCGTTCATGTGAACCTTTGATGCTAAATTTTCTGAAGTCAGATCCAGAGCCAACTTGTAGAACACTTAACGAAGTGGAAAAAAGAAATTGTCTTATAATACCTTATGAAATTTTGAAAAAGGAGTCTTCTGTAGTTGAATTTGGAAGGAATGAAATGATTTTAGATGAATTCTTGAATGAAAGTCTTTCGGAACGTACTAAAGTCGAAGATCCAATGGAAATACCATGTGATGAAAATGTACCTCCAAAATTACTATTAAAGCCTCCTTTATGTGAGTCTTTGAAGGTAAATTTCCTGAAGCCAGATACAGAAACAACCTGTAAAACGTTGTCAAAAGTGGAAGGGAGAAATGATATTATTATAATTCCTTATGGCTTTTTAAAAAACTTTTCCTCTTCAGTCGAATTCAAATGGAATGAACAGCTTGCAGATGAATTGTTGATGAATGAAAGTTCTTCAGATTATAACAGAGTTGGAGATACAGTGGAAATACATTCGTGGGATGAAAATGCACCTCCAAAATTACCAATAAAACATCCTTCCTATGAACCTTTGAATCCAAGTCCAGAAGCAACTTGTAGAGCACTTAATGAAGCAGAAAAAACAAATGATTTTGTTATTACTTCTAAAGTACTGGTGAAACAGAATGAGCCATTAATACTCTTGAAGACTGAAACTGAAGAATACACATAAGATAAAGAAGTAAGTTGTTCTGTAGTAATTACATTAAATTTTGTATGGGAAAACTTCTGCAAATGGGCATGGACAACAGTTATGTTGTTGAAAAAACATGGGTAAAAGCAAACATAGACGCAAGTTCTTATAAATGATATTTAAAATATTACACAAGTACAAAGACATTCTATTTTTGATCATAGACCCGTGATTTCTTTTTAATAAATAAATTAAATAGGTTTTCTTTGGTTGCTTTGATTTCCCAGCTGCCAGCATTAAAGATGTAACTTTAAAAAAAAATTCTTTTGGAAATATTTCAAAAAAAAAAAAGGGAAGATACAAGATGTTGCCAGAGGTTTTCAGATTATTAGAATTTTCTTCATGCAATGTTTAGTAAAAATACATGAAACTTAAATTTTTATATAGGCGTCATGAAAAAGTCAATGAGAAAAATGTTTGGGTTAGTTTCCTTCTCTGAAAAATCATTCTTATTTGATCAAATTTCTAAACTTTTAAAGAGTTTCAGTACTAATACTGCAAAAGAGGTATGAATGCTAAACTTGCAAATTCATATTTCCAAAAGATACATTTTAAAGCAGAAAAATCTTTGTAGAAATCTAAAAATTAAAATTTTTTATGTGACCTTAAAATCAAAATTTGTACCTTCCTTTTCATGGGCTGAAAGTGATCAAAACTTTTGGTATCCAGTTAGTGAAGAGTCTGATTCGATTGATTTTATCCAAATTAGCAGGAAGTGAAAAATATTTGAAGCCTAAGTTGGAAACCAAAGTTTTGTTAGGAAAGCAAAAATATTTAAATAGTGGTGTAAATACTTTAATTTAAAGATTGGTTTAGGGGGGGGAAACACCTGTTTCAAACAGAACTTTTTAAGGAGTAAGTATTTTAAAACATTAAACAAGGATGATTAATAGTGCCAAACAACATGTTTCATTGCTCTTGACGCTGCAGGACTCAAAAACCACTGTTAATTAATTTTCTGTTTGAAAAATTATTTCTGAAATGGTCTTACATTATTGAAGATCTACCCCTGCATGCCATTCCCCACATTTTGAACTATAAGCATAGAAAATATAATAAATTTAAAGATAAACAAAATTAAATTTAAAATATACAAAATACTAAATCATAATAAACTGAAAGGAAAACTACTGAAACTGTGCACAAAAACTTTTGAAACATCATTCATATAAATTATAAAAACTTCTGTGTAGTCAGACTTACAATTTGAGTTGACTCATCAACATGAAGCTCTAATCTTTTATAATTTCTATATCTATATATAGATATTTGCTGGCCAGACAGTGTATTAGTTAGTGGAGCTGACTGCAGTACCAAAGAGCCCGGGTTTGAATCTAGAAGGCATGGTAACTGTCTGTCCTTTCATAGGAGTCAAAAGTGTCCCACCTATTAGGTGTCTCCATAATAAAGTGTTCACCACTTCTGGGCCTTAGTAGTGGCTAAGCCGAAGTTGACTCAGGGCAGGAAGTTGGGGGAGGGGGAGAATATATATATATATATATAAGATATAACAAAATATGATAGCTGTTTCAAAAAATAATTGACAACCTCAAAATTAACATTCTAAATTTGGTAATCTGCCCCTAAATTCATCTCTTCTCACAGCTTCCAGACTTTTCTATCTTATGTAACATTTTAATGCAGATACCTCTTGTCCAATCAAATTAATTCTTAACCAAAACTGTGAACTGAAACTTTCCCACTCCCAGTCTTCTTCCTATGAAAGTTCTATAACCTTGCCTTTTTCCACATAGCTTTCCTGCTGGCAAGATGCTTTTAAACCGTGCTGCTGCTTACTAACTTAAGATGACGTTCTAATTCAAACTGCAATTTATGTATTCAAATATAATTAGGAAACACCTTGTCTGAAAAAGGATGATTTGATGCGTGGAAAAAATAAAGATTGTGATTTTTCAAGATATGGTGTGCTAAATTGCATCATCATGCTTTCCACTCTGCCACCTTCAAGCAACTACGATCTTCTCGGTCATCTACGCAGTATCGCAAGCTGTTGAGAGTTTCGCTGCTTTCATCTACGCATTTGTAATCATTACATATATATACAGTACAAAGTCCATAATCCGGACTCGTCGGGATTTCGGGAATTCCGGATTAGGGTTTTTTTCTGTATTATAGATCATCAATTTAAATCTGGTAAGATGGCATGCAGAAATTATACAATTAAAAATATGAAACTGTAATTTATGAAATAAAGAGCAATTTGATCTAAAGGGTATCAAAATTTACAAAAAGAAAAGCTTAATATTTATTTGTCTAATTTTATTAAACATTTCTTTCAATGTAAGTTGTTTCTGTTCAAGTCATATAATTGCGGTGTCGAGAATACCGACTAACTTGTCAATTGAAATTTTTTCATTTTCAATAACTTCTCTGTCACTTTTTTCACTATCGGAAGCAGTATTTTCTGGATCTAGAATCATACTACAGATTTTGCCGTCCATTAATTGATTGATGATTGGGGGCATTGTCATCGCAACGGAAAACTTCTGTTATATCATCTTCATTTATTACGGCTTCTCCACATTTCTTTACAAAATCCAATAACTAGAAAATTTCACGTATAGTTTGCAATGTCCAAAAACCTTCAAATTCGTGGCTATCATCTTCATCGTCCTCACCATGAAATATGGTGGCTGGCCATAAATTATGCCAAGCATTTCTTAACGTACCTGGAGACACATCCTCCCACGATCTTGCGACGCTCCACACAGCAGATTTTATGCTAAAAAATTTCAAAAAGTCTTGAATAGTCGTGCCATTGTTCAAGAAATTTAACACAGATTTACAAAATGATACTTTATATTTGCATTTTAGCATGTGCACTATTCCCATATCCATAGGCTGTATGATAGACGTACGATTTGGAGGGAAGAATAATGCGGATACATTATCTTTTGCTAAAACTTTTAAGTGAAGTATGCGCTGAACAGTTGTCAACAATCAGGACTATTTTTGAGTCATCAGGTAAACAACTGAATTCAAATGATGCTGAGCCTCGGGTATAAAATGATTTTCAAACCAATCATTCATCAACATTTGTGTCATCCATGCTCTTTAATTTACGCAATATATCGGGGAAAATCATTATTCTTTTAAGTGCTCAAGGTCGTGCATGCTTTCCGATTGCGAAAAGTTTTCACTTTTGCACTCCTGCAGCATTTGCACACGCTAAAATTGTTAGTCTCGCTTTGGAATCTTTGACCATTTGGAGCCTTTTCTGTAGAGATTGCCAAGGTATTTCGCGGTACATATTGCCAGAAAAGACCAGTTTCATCAGTATTGTAAATTTGCTCTGGAGATAATTATTCACTAGTAATGAGTTCAATGAATTCATCTGCAAATAATTCAGCAGTTTCAGTATCACCTGAATCTTTTTTACTGCTTATACCATGGCGATTTTTAAATTTGGTTAACCAACCTGTCGAATATGTGCACTCAGTGTTTAAGTTAATTTCTTCATGAAATATTTGGCTTGAGCCATTAGCATTGGACCTGTCAATGACATGCTCTCGCTGCGACGCTCTGTGACCCATTCAATCATCACTTTTGTCATGATCGTCACTTTTAGCATAGTGGACCGTTTTTCTGTTATTCATTGTGAGTGGGGTGTCGGAATCCACAAACAATTCAAAAAGTTTCTTTTTCTGTTTGCTTATGTCATATACAGTTGACTTTCCAATGTGATACTCCTCGCATAATTTTGAGACGGACAAGCCTTTATCCATTTTTTTGCAGTAATTCCGATTTTTGTTTGATGGACATTGAAACATGCTTTCGCTTTGTAGATCCGTTGGCAGCTCGAGAATCGGAAACTCTTTTTGATATAATCAAAAGTTCAAGCTTAATTTTTATAAAATTGCTCTAACAGTCTGCAAAAAATAATAAGCTGGATCCAATTAGAAGATTAAGGAACAGCGCAATCTGCAACATTAACTGAAATACCTTAGAATCAGTAAAGATAATTTTAGCCTATCTTATACCGTCTGTTATACATTAAGCATGCATGCATAAAGCATACAAAAAATGTTTGTGGCTTTGAGGTCCGGAATGTAGATCATTCCGGATAATGAACATCCGAATTATGGACTTTGTACTGTATATGTATGTAATGAAAGGAAATTTTAGAGAAGTAATGATGTAGAAACACTGAGGTGAAGAAGGATAGCAATATTGTGTGGTGTAGATACTTGGATACTTAGAACGCCGACCCATATTTTAGAGGAAGAAGTCGAGGCGGATTAAATTCCGCTTAATTTAAATTCACATTTGTGCCCACCAATTCATTTGGCACTCTAATCTTGCTTATTTTCAAAACATTTACATTTTTAAATACTATTGTGATAGGAAGAGAACACAGTGAAATGAAGTGACATCTAAGCAGCAACACATATACAAGCAAAATAAGCATTTATCCAATATGGCAGCTCATGAAGGAGAAAAGTTTTGTTTTACGTTTTAAAAGTTTCAGTTCTCAGAGTTTAGATTCTGAAATAACTATGTCATCAGCATTATGCAAGCTTTACAGTACATATTAATCTAGAAATGAAGCAGTCCAGAAATGTCATTAATTTTTCTTTAAGAAGGAATACTCAAATTTAAATTGAGAAATTAAGAGAAGATTACTTAATTAAAATATAAAGGTGATTTACATTTTTTAAAATCTTACTTGTATGTATAAAATCAATTCAAAACCTTGAGGGAGACTTGATGTGACCAAAGTATGTAGTTAAATATTAATATTAATATTTCTACTGCTTACAGTAGTAATTTTATATTTATCACAATATGGCAGTTTAGCACAACAATAAATGAAAACATTAACCTTTAAATATTAGCAGAAATAGGCTTCAGTTTCATTTGAAATGCAGTAACTCTAGAACTAAGCATGAACTGTAGCACTCTAGAAAAGTCAAAATATAGGTTATGAGATACAGTAATTGAGATGAAGTTGCAAGTATGTAAGAACTAATCTATTCTTGAAGCACCTTTACGTAAAATTGCTATCTCACTGAAATAAGAGAATCATTGTCTGGGATATAGATATTCTGATGGTCCTGAAAGGATTAAATCATGTAATCTGCTTTGTTCCTAGGACCAACTTTCTATATTTGAACTGGTTTTTAAAAAGATCATTAATAGGCTAAGGAACAGTGCACTAAATGGAACTATTTTTATAGAAGGCAAACATAAAAATTGCATTAAATGTATATGACAGAAAATTTTGCATTTTGAAAATGAAGGTTTTTAGTCGTGTAACATTTGAAACGGCTGTTATATAATATATTTAATTATAATATGCACTTTTATTCATTATATTCAGTACAAGTATTCACAGAATTCATTATCTATAGGGTTAAAATGTGTACGCATCTGTCTGTATGTTTGTGGCATTATCTCCTTCAGAACAGTGAGGAGTTGAGCTTCGTGAAAGGTAGCTCCGTATTCCAAAAATTTGTAGGAAGCAATTTCGACCATTGTCATCTTATGACTTTAATTATCTGAGATATTAATTAAAAACTTGAAAAAAAACCATAATTTTCGCCCGCATTTTTCCGAGTGGTTTTTCAATCTTGCAAGCAAAATGCAAATAAAATAAAATAAAATTTCAGTGCAGAATTATTAATTTTTTTTAAAAATAAAGAAAGAGTACACAAATTAAGATCTTTCCAGGCATGAAGTTCCTTACCCGGCTCTTATTTTGGCATTCGTTGATCGTAGTCATACACTTCCAATTACAAAAGTGTTTTAAATGATGAAAATGTTAAAATTTTCGCAATGTGGAATTAAAAAAAAATAATTGAGCTTCAACAAATAACAAAATCTAACCTCTAATGCGATCTCCTAGTTCATATACTTATATTTGGTAAAGTTTTGTACTTGTATGAAAAATGAAAGTACAAGAAGCTTGATTCCCATAAGACAAAAATTGACCAGGGTATTTAATTTCAAAATTTACAATATTTGATGCCATTTTCATCTTCCCATGAGGGATCAATTAATTTACAAAAAAAATATGAGGAAATAAATGATGTGCTGCACCCAATAATGTGTATAATTAGGGCGTATAAGGAAGTCATGGTGTTCCGCGTGAGATTTTTATTATTATACGAGTCGCTCAGAAGCCAATGCGGTTAAGTCCAGAAAACAAAAATTGAGAAAATTAATGTTTTTTGATACATTAATTTTTAAAATTCTTGGTTTATTAATTTGATCAGAAAAGCATATCAAATCTTTTTTCTAAGGCTAAACTCTGGAGGGGGAGGGGAATGTACAGGATGTGTAAATAAAAACATAAGTATTGGAACAATGAGAGCATCTTAAAAATTTTAGGACTTGTGTATCTTTTGGCAGCTGAAAAAGATAAGAAATTTCCCTTGACATTTTTATCAGTCAGTGTTTTTACAGTTATTAAAGAAAATGTATTTAATGTTTTTGATAACCCAATAATTTTCACAAACACTTCAATGTAATATTTTTATGTTTTAACCAAAATTTAGATATTTAAAATTTAAAGAAAGCATGTACATAAAACTTGAACAATTCTAAATAGTATAAGTAACAGTTACAGTTACTATGAGTCTGTTGTTTTTCAGTGTTGCCAACAAATATCCAAAGAAGAAGAATAATTTAATTTTTATTTCAAAGTTTATATAAAAAATATTGATAAAAGGTGGACTTATTCTCAGTGGCTTCTGAAATTATTATACAATGTATTCAAAAGCTATAAAAAAAGGGCTGTCTGACCTAGAAAAAAGGAAGCAACGAGTAAATTCTTTAATAACTAAGAAGAATATTATTTATTTCATCAAAACTTACAAAAATCAGAAAATATCAAAAATTGGACTTAACCTCATTTGCTTCTGAGCGACTCATATTTTCTCTCATTTTCCATTTTTAAAACACTACTTGCGCCTAAATCCTCAATAAGTATATTCTGTATTGAAACACTCGCTGTAGTGTGATGTTTGACACGTTCGCTGCCAACTACGAGTTATCTCGTAGATCAAAGTTTGTATTAGCCGCCAACTTCAAGTTAATTCATAGAACGTTTTTGTTTTACCTACACCATGTAGATCAAACTTGTAATATTTTCATGTTCTTTGAAGGTATCTAAATTTAGGGATTAGAAAAAACATAACAATTTGAAGCAATTCAAGAGATTTATTGTAATTAATATAAATAACTATAAAATAACATAGGTACTGTAAAAATAATCGAGCAATTTATAATAATCTTTGCTATAATAATTGTTATAAAAATAACCAATCTTTGTTATAAGCAACTGCCAACTACGAATATACTCATAGTAGGAGTTGTCATAAAACATGTTATTGCAAAAACCAAATATAACTCGTATAATTAATAAAGCAAATAAAATTTATCTAAATTCAATATCTTTCCCATAAATACACATTTTGTATATTTATTTTACAATTAATTAATTAAAATTTGTTGTTGTGATGGAATCGTTTGTGAAAATGTTAAGAAACATGTGAGAACTTTTAAAGTTTCAGTGCATATTTTTATTTAATGTTTCTTTTTCAGGAAAAAAATTCTATTGATGGAGAGATTTGAAAGATAGGACTGATTAAAAAAGTATCCCCTTTTTATTGTGAAATGTTATAATTCCAGTTCGTAAATATTAATCTGCATATTTTTGTATCTTCTGTGCCTTTAAAAGTTTTTCTGAAAATGGTAAGAGTGTCTGCTTTTCACTATATATGTGTATAATAAATGTAAATGTTTGTGAAATGAAATTATTTCTTGGATAATTTTAACATATTTAAATAGACATTCCTTTTTCTCAGACTGTTATACCAGAAAACAGTAATCTTCAATTATCATATTTGTTTAAACCATGTGCAAACTTCTTAAGATACATAAAAGTGATTATCATATTTGTTTAAACCATGTGCAAACTTCTTAAGATACATAAAAGTGATGCAAATACACAAATGAAGTATAATAAACATGCAAGATTTGTTAAAAACATTATGCAACCTAAATGAACAAAAGTCCCGATATTTTGATTGTGAATGCTTTTTGCAGAAAATTAATCTAATGCAGAGATGAAAGTTTGTGTCTGCTGCAGCTTTCTGATATTCATTCTCCAAAATCATTTCTTTTCTCCTGAAATAAAATATTATCATATACTGTAACAGACAACATTTTTTTCTAACATTGATGTGGCATGCACTCTAAGAGTTCCAAGTCTTCTCTAGAACGTTCAACTATCATGCTGTCTATAGCTTGTTTCTGAATGTATTGGATCTTATACATGAACAGCATTTCTGATCAGAGCTTGTAAATTTTTTTCTGTATTCATATTGATAAATCAGCCACTGGAATTTACCAGCAGGTTAAAGAACATGCACTTATACATTTTAAAGTAAATTATAATTCTAACCTTATATATAAAGTTTATGAAACGCTGAACAGTTCAGCATTGCAGTTCCACTTAGTGATATTGTTCGTGCGTTAGACTGAATGCACAAGTTGAATAAAAGTTTAATAAAATTTATTTTTATTAAAAGAAATATAACAGAATGCTGGAATTTTCCTCAGAGATATTCGTACAATTACACAATATCACATATTATAATCAGTAGTTACACTTTACACCAGGATTTCTTTTTTCAGTCGTGAACCCTTTTTATCACCGAGATTTTTTCGCGACACCCGGAACCCCATAATATTTAAAAAAATTTTGTGGAACCCCATAAGTATTGCACAAATCTGACACACGCGTGAGTGAAACTCAATTTTTTCACTTGTACTGAAATATACTATTGCAGTTTTAGTTCATTAAATTTAATTTCTAATTTTTAAAACATAGAACAATGTGAAAATTTTAAATATGTAACAGACAAAATGACATCGTCACGAGCAAACCAAGGAAAATGAACGTTTTATTATAAAAAGAATGCGTTGAAACGTTTTCATTTTCTTCTTTGTCTGCATTATCTTATCTTTTATCTATTTTCAAACACATTGTGTAAAAATATTTGGTAATTGTAAAATTATGATAATAATTTAAAGAAATATCAAAACTGCTAAAATTTTTGGCGACCTCCGACGTTAAATAGAATGTAAAGCACAGCACAGAGAAAGCAGCTAATCTGATCAACAATAACAACAGCAGCTAACTAAACAACTGAGCTGAGATGTCTTTCTTCCGCTTTTTAAAGCTTTCAATTGGTCGCAAGAATATTCTAGTAATTTCTTTGCTTCTCGAGATTTCTGGAAATCAGCAACAGGATGGAATTACGGTTACAACTAACACAGTAGCCAGTTATATTTGTTCAATTTCAATCCATTTATTCAGTGTTAAATGAACGTGCTCATATATTTTAACTTTTCTGGCGAACTTTCTCTTAAAATTTATTGCGTGCTGCATTGCATGGGAAAATAAAATTAATATTAGTTATAATTCTACTAAAATTGGCTATCTAAATACAAAATTTGTAACACATTCCCCTTCCCAAAGACTGCACATCCCGCACAGTACAATCCTTGGACAAGAAGCCAAACTTACAACAAAGGCATCGATGCAATAATAAACATTACATTACAGTAACAAACAACACAATAATTGCAATAAGTAACATAAAACAAATCAAATACAAAATCAATAAATGAGTGCACAAATTTAGAAACAAAAAAGGACCATGGTCTTATACTATTTACATTATATATACTATGTATTATGGCCATAGTAAGGAGCTAGCCTGTCAGAATGAATGACTTTAGGCGCAGAGGTTGATGACTTAACAGATCTGAACTACAACGTCATTCAGCCTGTTTAAGACAGTGTAACAACCATCCCACGGTGATTGTAGTTCAGGACCAAGTCCTTTCCATCAAATTGGATTCCACAACCACACCTTGTCTCCTACATTGAGTCAGATGTCCAGTAGCTGTGATGTTGTAGTAGGTCTTCATCTTTTCTGTTGCCAAGTTGGCTCGCTTTCGTCCAAAATTGTGCATTATTTCAAACTGGGCCTGGAGATCTTGGACGTACTGCTCAGGCGATCAAACAAGAAATCACAAAGCATACAAAGGTCACAACCAAAGTCTATCTGAGATGGGGAATAGCTGGTAGTCTCGTGGACAGCACAGCGATAAGCCAGTAAAAAGAGAGATAACTTCTTGTCCCAGTCCTGTTGGTATCTGAAAACCACCAATGAGAGGTTATTGAGGATAGTTCGATTAAACCTCTCTACCATGCCATCGGACTGAGGATGTAAAGGAGTCATTTGAGTTTTGTCAATGCAGAGTTCTTTTATTACAACTGAGGAAAAATTCCTTCTTGATCAGAATGTAACTGAAGAGGCACTCCGATCGTGGAAATCCAATGCTATATCATCACCTCTGCTACTGTGACAGCCTCTTGATCAAGAATAGGATACGCTTAAGCCACTTGATGAAAGAACCCATGGCAGCAGTTCGTGGCAGAGGTTTCAGGATGTCAAAGGCGATACATTCAAAAGGTACTCCTACATTGTAACGTTGCAGCTTGCCTCGGCTTGTTTCTTTGGTTCTTTCCGACCTGTACAGGCATTGTAAGATCGGCACCACTTTTCAACATTATCCTTTGCATTACTCCAGTAGAAGTGTTCACGACTTATCTGCAAAATCTTCATAATTCCGAGGTGGCCTCCTGTACGGCTGCTATGTAATTCTTTAAGGACATTAGGTAACCAGGACTGCCTTTCCATCATCTGTTTCGAATTTCCAGTATAAGACGCCATCTCGAATGTGGAGCGACTCCCAGAGATCCCTGTATTGTTTTGTCATCAGACTACAGATCGAAATGTCCTGCCAGGTAGGTTTTTCTGTTTGAAGACTCCATTAAATGAATTATGGGTTTAATGTTGCTATCTTCCAGCTGGTCTTTTCTGACTTTTGTCACTCCATGGATCTCAATCAGTCGATGTTGTAACTTGTTGTAAGACAGGACTCGGCAGGTTCTGTTTTTCTTCGACCCTAGTGCGATATTGGCAGCTGTGTGGGCAGAGTCTTCCAGACAAGGTGTCAGTGTTTCCACGTGAGGATCTGTTCTTATGATGCATCATTATGGCCTCAAATGCTGAAAGCAGTTTATTGTTTATGAAGTCTAAAGAAAAATTTAATTTTTTAGAAAGTCCAATCCAAGCATGCAAGGATATGTAATATCTGCTACATATGCCATGTGATGGTAGGCAGCACTTACAAATGTGATGCTTACGTTTAACTTTCTATCAGCCGCGTTTTTATCACCAGACACAGTCTGAAGGGTAATGCAACATGGTATCCAAATGAGTTTATCTTATTGTTGAGCTAAATCTTTCCAAATTGTGGCAACATTGGCTCCTGTGTCAATGATCATATTTCAAGGAACTCCATCGATATGCCTATTGATGAATAGTCCATAACTGTTGCCACTCGGTGCAGAAATCTTGAGTGCTTTAAAATGCGGTTTTTCATTGTCGCTGAAATTCCGCTCCACGAGATGGCCACTAATTTGTTTCCTGCATTGTCACTGGGAAATGATCTAATTTTCCATGCCCTGGGGTGTTCTGCAGTTCATGCATACGTGGCGTTCACTGCCGTAGTTCCAGCACTTAAAGGACAGTTTCATGTCACTCCTGTTCCATCTCAAGGCACTGAGTTATCTGCTTAATTCATCTGTCTTATTTTCTGTGGCCTGGGGTGTTCTGCTGTTTCGTTTTATGTGGCCCTCAGCACCACATTTCCCATTCTTTAGAGCAAGTTTGTTCTTACTCACTACTAATATCAAAGCATTGACTTAAATGGATAAATTATCTAAATTAGCTATCACATGATCCACTGGCTCCTAGACTTGAGTAGCTGTGATTGGCTGGCGGTCTGTGCGAGTTGCTTGCTGTGCTGCCTTGAATTTTATGTACACTAGTGCTCATCATACAACCATTGACATCCATCATTCTAAAAAATTTCTGTATTTCGGGATCCCAGATGCCATCAATAAAGTACTGCAGGGAAAGGATTTCCCTTCTTTCTCTCGGGCATTCTGAAAAGACGAGATGAGACAAGCCTTTCAACATCCATGGTGAGCTCTTGGACTGTTCCATAGGCGGGAATTTAATTGAAGCTTGCTGTAATCTTTTACAGACTTCTCACCAGAGTGCAGCTCCAATGAGCCAGATAGAACTTCGAAGTCTTAGTCTGTGTTTTTCTGGAAGAGTATGAAAAATACTTGCAGCTTCTGCTCTCGGAGAAGCAGTTAGATAACAGGCCTTACTTTGGGAATCTCATCCATTCACTTCCGCCACTAGAAAATTGTGTCTTATACACTTGCCAGGAGGTCTTCCCATCATATGTGGATAGCTTCAAAAAGGAACAAGCTGGCATGGGTAGAAATTTAAAACCATCAGAATTGTTTCCTGCTGTCGCTATGCACTTCTTTAAGATATGAACTTCTTAGGTAACTGCAGCAGAAACCCTATCAGCAATTTGTTGTTGGATGGCAGAAACTCTTCCTTCTATTCATTGATTCACAGCAGAAACTCTTTTTTCTGATTTTTCTTTTACAGAAGTACCTCTTATCTTCTATTTGTTCTTTTACAGTAGAAACTCTCTCTCTTCAGTGTGTCCAACTTTATTTTCAACAGCATTCATTCTGCCTTTGATGGCCTCAAATTTGTTTCCTATTTTACAGGTAAATCTCTTTTTTTATTCCTCAAAATGTGCTTTCATCTCTTCTGCAACAGATACTTGACCAGCTTCCATCTTTTCT